AACTTTTGTGCTATCTGGTCTATCTTGCCTTTGAAAGACTCTAACTTGAGCTTCGGAGCCCTTACGCCGGGTTCTCCCCGGAGCTTCTCTTCTCCTTCCATTTCAGGTCCCTGCCACTCAGTTCAGAGGCAAGATCGTTGACAGGTAAGATCGGCCGGATTGTGCATCATCATAACTTATACACAAAATATAACAAAAATAAAAAATTACAAGAACAAAAAGTAGGAAGATTTTATATATTTTTTATTAACTATATTATCGGTTCGTCGGTTCGAATCTGAATCGAAAACAACAAAACGGGAATCGACACAATCTGTTGGTCGGGTAGACTCGTCCCATTGAAAGCCCTAAATTCTTCCATAGTGTAGTAACTCGTGAAGATATCGAGATCGGTAACTTTGAGAGCCTTTTCGAACAGAGTTCAAATCAGCGCCCCACAAGACTCCCGACAACGTCCACATTTCCGCCGTGTATTAAGAATATTTCCCGATGATAATATTTTGAATGATGTTATCATCGAGAGATATTTTCAACATACGGCTGGGATGTGCTGTGAGACGTTGTCTGTGGGGTTGATTCGATCGCGTTCGAACAGTCTTTACAGCCTTGCATCGGGAACATCTTCGTACTTCTCTGCTTTATTTCATGGAAGATATTCGGCTGTTGGAACGGGTTCTCACTGACTGAATCCGGTTTCGAAGATATTAGATATGCTTACTTCTCTTTCTCTGTTTTTCACTAGAACTACAAGCACGCCGCAGCTGCTGCATATCCGACCAGTAATCAACGTCTGCCGCCGAAGAATACAAGAACTAGGTAAGACTCCATTCCTTAATCAAAGTATAACTCGGTTTTCATTTCATCAGATTTCATTCTCTTTTGGAAATCTATTGATTCAAATGAGCATGTAGCTGATACAGAAAGAGAGATGAATGCGATTGTAAAGGATGCAGAGAAGTTGGTGGCATCGGCTATGGGAGGGAATGATGCATCTCACGATGCTTCACACGCTTTCAGAGTCAGAGATCTCGCTCTCTCTTTGGCCCACGAAGAGGGCTTGTCTTCCTCTTCAGAAACCATGGAAATTGTAGAGCTTGCTGCACTTCTTCATGATATAGGAGATTACAAGTATGTGAAAGACCCATCTGATGAGACGATTGTGGAGCGGTTTCTTGAGGAGATGGGCGTAGAAGAGAGAAAGAAGAGGAGGATACTTAGATTAATAAAGGGAATGGGTTTCAAAGAGGAAATTACAGGGCATCCAGGTAGAGAATATTCTGTGGAATTTGGAGTTGTGCAAGATGCTGACCGTCTTGATGCAATTGGTGCTGTTGGTATTGCTCGCTGCTTTACCTTTGGTGGAAGTAGGAACCAAGTGTTGCATGATCCTGCTATTCAACCACGGTTGGATTTGTCCAAGGGTCAGTATACGAAGAAAGATGGGCAGACTACAATCAATCATTTTCATGAAAAACTTCTCAAGCTGAAGGACTTGATGAAAACAAAGGCGGGTCAGAGAAGAGCTGAGAAGAGGCACAAGTTCATGGAGGAGTTCCTGAAAGAGTTCTATGAAGAGTGGGATGGAAAGGCTTGAACATGGTAACTTTCCTCTCATTGCAGGATTTTGTCTTTCATACTCTTTTAGTTCCCTGAGGAACAAAAAACTGGAAACTTATCAGAGACAGATATCTTAAATGTTTAATCAGGTGAGTTCTTGGCATATAATTTATCGCAACAATCTGGTCATATATATTAAGAGAGAGGATTTTGTTTTTTTCCTTTTTTGATGGATACCGAAGTATAAAATCTAATAACACAGTAAGGCAGAGAGAATTGTGAGAAGAATAATACAGGACTTCTGGTCTCAGACGTGTTATTCATCAGTATTATTTATGGAGATTTACAAATTACAATGAGAGAGTTTGTCTTCTGTACAATATCTAGTAACAAGCGATAGTATAACAGCAGCTCTCTATTAGTAGAGTCCAAGTTGGATCCTGTCTCAACAAGAGATAAAGTATTTAGCAAGAAACTAGATGAAGGACAAAGAAACTTCTGGTAAACAAATTATACACTGTATCATGGTAAAAAATGTGCATACTTAAACTCATGGAAGGGTTAGGATTGAAGAATCTTGAAGACATGAACAAAGCACTATGTGCTAGCCAGAAATGGAGATTAATAAATGACTCTAAGAGCTGGTGGAGCCAAATAATTAAAGCAAAATACTTCACAGGTTTCTCCTAGCTCAAACAAAGCTAAAAGCAAATAGCTCTGCTTGGGGAAGAAGTATGAGTACTATTCACATGGTGGAAGGTAAACATGATAGGTGACCCATGGGCAGAGGGCATTGGTACTCACATGCTGGAAACTAAACAGGAAAATAGGAGCAACAGGAGAGTACTACATTTGAAAGTTTTAGGGCTTATTGAGAGAGGGCAAAGTAACTCAGGTAATTCCCATCTATAACATGTCCACATCCGTCCTCCCAAAAAGCATTAGCATGAAATTAAAGGAAGGGCAAATAAAATTCTGGTGGCATGGGTGAGAAACCAAAAGTAAATCACATGCAGTCTCCTGGTCAAAATTATGTAAACCCAAACACATGGGAGGGATAGGATTGAAGAATCTTGAAGACATGAACAAAGCACTACTTTCTGGCCAGATATGGAGATTAAAAAATGATTCTTTGAGATAGTGGAGCCAAATAAGTAAAGCAAAACACTTCACAGGTTCCAAGCTCAAACGAAGGCAAAAGCAAATAGCTCTGCTTGGGGAAGAAGGCATTAGTACTAACATGGTGGGAGCTAAACAGGAATATAGAAGCAACAGAAGTAGTGCATTTGAATTTTTCAGAGCTGGTTGTTAATAATGACCAATGGAATATGACCAAAACCCAAACCTTCTTTGACACTGAAACAGCCATGGCCATAGTGCAAACAGCAATCAGTAGATGCAGTGATGCATACAAAAAGACAAGCTTATCTGGAAACCTAGTAAATCTGGAAAATTCACACTCAAGTCATCTTAGAAGGATATATTGAAAATGAAATGCCCTTCCAAATTCCAGGTTTTCATGAGGAAACTAAAATGTAATGGACTACCTACTCGAGAGTCGAGAGAAACTCAGAACTGGAGAGTGGAGGCATCATTCAACACACTGAACACAGTTCTTGTATCTTGTGTACTAGTGAAGAAGACACACAGGAACATATATTTATGCACTGCCCTTTTTCCTGAGCTATTTGGCTTCATATGGAAATTGGATTCAATCCAGAATATTACAAAACTGATCCAATGAACTGGACTGTTATGAAATGCTAGCATTTGCAGGCACTTGTGATCATGCAGAAATAGTAAACTCTTTCAGAGAAAGGAATCCCACCATCTTCAAACACTTATGGTTGCTGAGAATGAATATGAATAATGGCAAGCTACACAACATGGATGGATTATACAACCCTGTCACTCAAGCACTGTAGAATTCTAAATTCCACTTAACCTTACACAATTCAAAATAACAAATACCCCATTCTAAAACACCAATACCCATGCATGTATTGACTTCCAAACTGATACCTACCCCAACTGTACAGTGGGGCTAAGGATTCTTAGGTTGTGCTGAATAGTCATTTTCCGAGAAATCTATGATGCCTGAAAAACATGATACTGAAATGACTTTAACCAATCAAAACCCCTATGATTTTATATGAAAATCCACTGGGTTGGTTACCACTTTAACGATGCCAGTTGATTAGTTACAAGTTTTTTTTTTCAGTATCATGTGTCGAATTCTAATTATATAACTATTAATAAAATAGTAATACAAACTTTTTTAAGAATCCTTATTAAAACCATCTTTTCCAACGTCATCATGCACATATAAAGAAAGAAATAAATTATTTTCCGTACAAAACATGAGGTAACCACTGAGAAAGAGATACAGCCACTACTGATGCAAACTTTTGGCCACTATAGAATGTGGGTCTTCTTATTTATTTCTTCTCCCTTTCTTTTTTTTTTTTTCTTTTCTGTATCTCTTCTTCCTCTCTTTTTACTGTGGGATTTATGTCATTGAAGAGCCCTCTTCAGGTTTGTAATGATTTAAAATTGAAAGAGTAGGTGACTGACTTCTACATACATGCACATTCCATTTTGAAGCCTGGACAAAGTGTTGGAAGATTATGGACTCAACTTTCTGATAAGTGATTATGTACTCAAACTTAGATCATCATTTTAGTAGTGGCTTAGAATAATTGGACCTTGTTAGACAAATATCAATAATTAGCAGAACACGGAACCCACCAAAAAAATCTTCCCTGATATTGTGGTAGGTGGTTTAGTTGATTTTTAGACTCCATTTGGAAGGACTATAAATATAAATATGTAGAGTGCAAAACCTTATATTTTGTATGGCTTTGTATTGTACATATTTGTATTTCTTCTAAGTTGAGCCTAAGACTCCATTTGGAAGAAGTATAAATGCAAACACGTAGAGCGTAAAACCTTATATTTTGTATGTTTTTGTATTGTACATATTTGTATTTGTACTCCTTCTAAACTGATCCTTAAGTAATATAACAATGACATAAATTATGGTCCAGAGTCCTTTTCAACCCGAACAGTTGGCCCGTTCTAACAAAAAATTTAAAAAATAAAAAACGGTCAAAACCGTTCGAACGGTTTGAACAATTAACCGCCTAAATGAGCAGTTTGCTGACCAAAATCAATGATTTTTTGAGAAATCCTGACTTTGGAGAAGAACAGAACCAATCACCTGACCAGTTCCTAGTTTTTCTAACCCAACCATCCGATCTGATTCAATTTTAAAAACCATGGTATAGATCTCTTGCTCAGATTCACCTATATAATACTGCAACCACATATGAAAAACATCTCATCCTCTTATATGCACAGCAGGTGTTCCTAATACACGGAGCACGGGAGTAGTGTGTTGTGGATAGAATTTGTGGACAGGATACCCAGAGGGGGAATCTGCCCTGATCTAAATTACCATGTGGGCGGCTTTGGGTGTACCCGTTTGTGGGCCGAATAATTTCATGATAAATAACTAAGAGAAACTAGCTAGGCAACTTGTTCGAAAGTTCCAATATTTAACTATTCTTTCCTACTTTATGCTTTCGAGGGTTGATGGGGCATTATCTTATTCGGGCAGAAAATGTGACCTTAATAAATGCGTATAGACAAAGATAAATAAAAGAGAGAGAAGTCACGGTCTTTTTTGGAATGGTACAATTGAAAAAGAAAAAGGGTAAATCCACCTTATCCAATCTACCTGTTCCCATATTCATTAATAGCAGGGACCAATATTGGGTAGTGAATTTTTTTTTTTTTTTTTGATAAAAACTATCTGGAATACACGCCTGAATCAGTGGTCATCAGTAGTAACCATTTTATTTAATTCACCCTATCTAGACATGATAATTTGATGGACTAAAAGAATAAACACGGCCAACCCTAAAGATCAGGTAATAGATTATTAAGATTGGGCATAGCCATGTGCATGGATTCACTTTGTATTAGCATCACCGTTATCATAAATAATTACTTTGGTCATGGCTAATCTTACCAAACAAATACGGACGGGAGGAGGAAAAAGATAACAATTTTGCCACGTGGAAGGAGTCCACTTTTCTTCCTTTGAAAAAGAAGGTTTTGTATCTGACACAGACACACCTAATAAGGGATGAACTGTTTTTAACGCAACAGGGAAAGATTCGATCCATTGTCAATTTAATTAACAAAGAAGTGTCACTACAATCAGCCCTAAGATCAAAGGGAATAAAGTGAAGCGGCCCAGTCCAAGATTCAGACCAGCCCACAGATAAAGGCATATTTAGTAACTTTATGGGCTGGGGAATTCCCTGATCTGTGGTAACTGAGACAAAATAGCATGACAATCTGTAATTAGAGTGTGATTGCCCCAAGAAGAAGAAGAGGATGGGTCCAAGATGAGACTGACAGGGACAAAGCATCACCTTCGATGATAAGATGGTGAAAGTTGAGATTGCGATTAGAGACATCGAAGAGTTGATCAAGCAAAGAAGGTGATGAGGGATAAAATGACCCTCCAATCACGAGCTGCCACGTGGTGGTCAAAACCATTTTACGACACCTCGACATTACATTTGTCATGACTTCGCTTAAATGCTCGTCAACAGATGGGTTCATGCAGTCTGAATGAACTCCAACCGAGTCCAGATCTCTTATTCATGTTTATCGCGATCATACATGGAGAACATCTCATCCTCTGTTTAGTATTATGCAGGGGGATATATTCCCAATTCACGGAAAATAGTGTATTATGGATAGACGTGGGTAGAATTCTTATAGGCAGGAGATCACTCCAACCTCTCTTGAATTCTTGTGGGCAGAATTCTTAACCATCTAATTTCTGATTTCTTTTGAAGCTATATAGAAGTTCATATTTGCCCCGATATTATCTTCTTGTATTTTGGACAATATCTTTAGCCCAATTTGGAAGGAGTATAAATACAAATATGTAGAATGCAAAACTTTGTATTATGTATTATTTTATATATATTTATACTCTACATATTTACATTTATACCCCTTCCAAATTAACCTTGTAGTACAACCAGTTTGGACTGTTCCTCGATCTCCATAAATAAGTAACACTCACACGACATACAGCAGTTGAGAAGGAGACTAGCTCCTTCCTTTCTTGCAACATATCTATTTGCAGTTATTATTTACACCCTTATCTGATGCAAAAGTATCTCTTTTCGTTTCATTTACATTCATAGAAAATGTAAATTTTGCATCTTTCCTCCCACTTTCATTTTTTTCTGTTATAAAATGGGGACCATATCAATTTTCTTTCCTCTTAAACGAACAAGCTAAAGTACAAATTTGGAAAAGTAAACCAGAATTTGCACTAGTCAGCCCTTTTGTACTCCCATTAATAAGTGCCATGCAAATGAAATTTGTGTTGCAAACAGAAGGGACCCCTACAAATTAGATAATCAGCAGCTATTCAATTAAAAGTGCAAGTATAAATAATTTATTTGATTAAGTTAACAATTCTTACAATTCAAACTATTTACAGCTTTAATTAAATTAATTAACAATGCTTACGCTTCAATCTATTTACAATTCAACCCTGGTTCAACTCTTTATGGTCCCCATTATGCATACGATTTATATTTTAGAACATGAAGGCTTCTAATTCTGGTTCAACCTATGTATTTGGTATCATTTTTAAAACATTATTTAGGCTCAGTTTAGAAAGAATACAAATACAAATATGTGCAGTACAGATACATACAAAATAATATAAAATACAAGGTTTTGCACTCTACATATTTGTATTTATACTCCTTTCAAATGGAATCTTAGGCTATGTTTGATTTGAAGAAAAATATAGGAAAAGGAAGGGAAAGGAAGAGAAAGGAAGAGAAACATGTCCAAACCTTATATAGGTTTTTCTACATTTTCTTTCAAACCAAACACAGCCTTAGGAATGGCAATTTCTACCCAATGTTTTAAAATGTGGAGGCGTGACGTGGAGAGTTCTACTACCTAGAGGCATGAGGCATAGTTCAGAACGCAAAAGGCGTAAGCCTCCTTAAGATGAGGGGGTTAGGAGGAGGATGAAGAGGAAGGGGGGGTCTCATTTTTTCTTTATTTTTAATAAAAATTAAGAAGAATACGGGGGCTTTTCCTTTAATTTTCTTTTGTTTCCTTTTTTTATTTTTTCTATCTTTTTATATCAGATGTCTATGAGGCGCATGAAACGTACACCTCTAGCACTTCTCATGAAAAAAGGGTTTTTAAAACACTGCTTCTATGCCTTTTAAAACACTGCTTCTACCCTACCTAGTGGGGTATTCTTCCCAAGAAAAAGGGTTTTTCCCTTAAAAAATGCATTTTGATGGCTGAGATGGGTTTTAGATTTCACAACCTACATAGATATGGGTAACATATTGTTGGAAGGCATATATATGAACATATGTAATAGGTGTTGAATGTAATAATATTTTGAATTTTATGTGAAGGATAATTGATATTTTATGTGTTTTTACATGTTTAGTTACAAGGAGGGTAGGGTCAATGAAGGTTTTGCATTTTTATGTGCGGGGAGTATTTGGATTTTGAAAATTGAAATTGCTACTGATTTTGAAAAGGGTATAAATTGGGTGGTACAGGGAGGCGGGTAAATCTAGAATTTACAAAAACTCACCCTTTGCCATCCCTAACATTCTATGATATTCAATGAGGTCTTCAGACTGTCTTTGGTTTGATAGGAGAGAAAAATAGAAAGCATTCATAGCGAATTTTGCAAAACATTTTTACTTTCCCTAAAGTTTCTGTTTCTATCTAATATAGTTTTCTGTCAAACATTCGTTTCTATGCAAGCTTGATAAACCTCGGCTTAAAACATTGTCTCTGCTATTTAAAGAGGCCTTTAAGGTTTCATTTGTTTATTTTTTGTTCCATTTGTCTATTTTTACTAAGCTCTTAAGATTTCTCTCTCTCTCTCGTATACGGGTGGACTGTTGATTTTTCTTTTTCATTACATAGGAAAATGTTAAATGTATAATCCCAGACTCCCAGCCGCCTTCCAGTTTTAGGATTCTGTCCAAAATTGCAACTCTGATTCGTAATGATTTTGATCCCTGATAGCCGGGGCTCCATTTGTTTCTTTTTTTTTTGTTTTTTGGTTTTATCTACATTAAAAGATTTACTTCATTTCCACCCTCCCAAGTTTCAACTCGGCCAGAGTCCAGAGATTTATTCCAAGTTGGTATGCTGCAACTTGGATTAATGGGCCTACCAAACAGATATTTGGGAAGGGAGCAATCCCCTTGAGTCTTAGAGACAAGTAGACAGTGGTTTCTTTTGTTCTCCCGAGAACAGCACCGTGTGGTGACCAAACTCCACAGCCAGAGGCTGAAGTTCATTAGTAATGGATTATGCAGTTAATGTTAATCGTGAGCTGATTTACTACAAATCACAAATCGCTTTCCGGCTTTTTATCTATTTCTCTGGATGATAGATAATACCAACGACACGAGAAATTGCTTTTTTGGTAGGTGTTGACGAGTGATGAACGAGATTTTTCACTTTGAAAATCAAAAGTTGAGCAAGATACAATGAATGGGAAATGTTAATTCGCCACGTGGCTACTTTTGCTCGTCATATGCAGCACAGATCTCTATGCTCTTTTACGCCAACGGTCTTCACCGTCCAGATAATAAATCCAGTTATTTTAGTTCAGAGGCGTTTCTGTCTGTTTGCCTATAAATGAGCTCTCACTCTTCTGTGTCTGGCACACTCTCAGCCAGAGCAGCAGCCATGGCCATCTGTTCATCCTCTTGCTTCGTCTCCTTGCTGTTGATCTCGTCTCTCTTGTTGGGTTCTTATAGCTTAGTCTCTGAAGCACAGGAGACTCCGCCCTTGGTGAAGGGACTCTCTTGGACTTTCTACAAATCGAGCTGCCCCAAGCTGGAAAGCATTATCAGAAGCGAGCTCAAGAAGGTCTTCAAGAAGGACATTGGCCAAGCTGCAGGCTTGCTCCGTCTTCACTTCCATGACTGCTTTGTTCAGGTAACATGCCAACTGCGAACAAATCGCCATTAATACCGAATTTCCATCTATTCAGTCGCTCTTCTTCTTCATCTGCGCATGTTAGCGCAGATGAAGCTTTAATTGTTTACAGAGAAGAACCCAGATGGAGAAATTACTATAATTTTTCTTCTTCTCGCTCTAATGGCTGATTAATTAACTTTACTATCTTACAGGGATGCGATGGTTCGGTGTTGCTCGACGGTTCAGCCAGTGGCCCGAGCGAGAAGGACGCACCACCCAACTTAAGTCTACGCGCCGAGGCTTTTGAGATCATCAACAAGCTCCGCACCCTGGTCCACGAGAAGTGCGGACGCATCGTCTCCTGTGCCGACATCACCGCTATTGCTGCCCGTGACGCTGTTTTCCTGGTACAGCAAAGCAAAGCCCCTCTCATCTCTCTGGCTGACTGGCTCATCTTTTTCCTCTATTCTTCCCGATA